TTAAATGCTAATGAGCTCTGCGTACCCCGCCCTTCTCTTCCGTGGGGTGACGAGCAGACTGTAAACTTCTGCCACGAAACTGGCTAACTAGCAAATTATTAGGAAAGGTGATTTGCAAAGATTCATAAAAAACCCTTATACTAACTTCTGTTGATGAAGCTGGATCACGAATGAATCGCGCGAACATAGACGCATTTAGGCAGATCGGGATCGATGCATTCGACGCATTCCCTTCAAAACGAAAGTAACTTAATCCTCTGCGTCTTCAGCGGCTCAGATGTCGGGAGTAAATGACGACTGCTATATTAATTATTACATCCAACAACAAAACACCTAAATCGCTTAATCGGAGACGTTCTTGTCTTCCCCTGCACCGGAGTCGACAATGGTGGATATATAGTGCTTTTACAATTATTTTAGTATCACTGATATACTATAAGAGTTTTTGTTGATATTTCGTTTTTAACATTTGTTGTGTTTTTGTCATTTTTGTTAGTTTTAGGGCTTTTTTATTAAAATGTCTATATAGCATTTATTATTTATTAGTTTTTATGTAATAGTTTTAGTTACTTATTAGTTTTAGTTAGTTAATTAATTAATACATTTTAATGGCGGACTGATGACAGCTCACTCAGGGCAGGTCTAAGGTAAGACGCTACTGTCAATCAACTATCGTGGGCGGGGCCTGTGCAGAACTACATCATTCTGACAGGAACCTCAGAACAGCCTGGTTTGAGAAAGGGGATTTTAAAATAGATATTTAAAAAAAAAACACTGAGTGGATTTTTATCATTATAGGATGGATGTGCACACACACTTCCAACACACATTTATGTTCAAACAACTTGTAAAATTAATTTTTCATCCGATGACCCCTTTAAAAAGTCTTAGAAATCCTGTCTAACCCTAAATATGAGCAAACACCATTAATTGCACGTATCAGACAGTGACTTTGTGAACACATGGAACAAGAGACACAAGAGGAATTTACCCATCATGAAACTCTCAACCTCCAAATCGCAGTCTGGGTCATTCCTACAACAAGAGGAGAATTTGAAAACAAAAGTTGTAAACATACAACAGCATATTTAAGTCTGAAATGGCACTAAAACATAAGAAATGTTGCTAGTTAACAGTTCGTTTCCTCCCTCTCCTCCACAATATTAAACTCACAGGACAGGAGTGGAAGAGGACTTATGGCAGCGCTCAGATGATCGGCTCTGTTTTTCTGGAGTCTTCTCTTTAGGAGGACCTATAGGGAGAGGAGCGGGACTGCAGGTCTGACCCTTCATTTTAGACAACGCCCAAAGCATCTGCAGGACAAACCAGCGACCTGGATCACAAACACAAGACTGTTAAGAACATGAACAAACGGTGAACAAAACATTTAAAAGTGCAGAGATGAATCGTTTGTACAGTCTCAGTACAGATACACTACCTATCGAAAGTGTGAACAACAACAAAGTGAGCGAGACCAAATCGAGTGCAGACTGCTGGTTGATCTCTGCAATTGCATTGATTGGGACCATGAGGAGCAGAGAGACACGGGAGAACGTGGCACACTGCAGGAACGACAGCAGCACCGCAGACAACAGGAAGTAACCAGCATGCATCACACAGGTCCACAGAGCACACAGACTCAAGCCTAGGAAGAGAATTACACATTTATCCAAAACGTATTCCAATATTTTTCTTCTTCTTGTTTATTCATTTGCACAAAATCCAAGTACCTGCCCAGCCAAGATAGCCTTGGATCATCTGCAGCCTGTCCTCCAGTCGATTCTGCATATTGTCCAGATACGTCAGCATGTATCCCAGAGTCCCGTTCATGCGCTCCAGCTTCCTCATGAGCTCGGAGTAGAACTGAGCCGTCGTGTTCTGCTGCTGCAGGAAGCCATTCAGATTGAGCTCTGGATCACAGGATTAACACAGACAGGACCATTTAAGTTTAGTTGCTAATAGTGCGAATGTGTCTTGGATATTTGCAAATACATTGAGATAATTGGAGAATTACTAGGATGTTCTTAAAGAAAAGTTTGGATATATATATACTGTATATATACACACACCACTAGTCAAAAGTTTGGTCTTTTTTTTTTTTTTTTTTAATAAGTCTCTATATACACGTACCAAGGCTGTATTTATTGGATCAAAAATACTAGGGATGCACGATATATCGGCCACCATATCGGTATCGGCCGATAAATGCTAATTTTTTCTGTTATCGGTATCGGCCCGATAAGAAAATTTGGCCGATATCTTAAAGCCGATAAATAATTAATTATTTCCTTCAGAGACACTTCAGATGCGCGCTGTTCGTTTGCAGCCTTTTGTGCAATTGTACGTTGTATTATTGTGTCGGCCAACATATCGGTTATCGGCTTTCAAAAATAAAGACTTATCGGTTATCGTATCGGCCAAAATGTTCATATCGGTGCATCCCTAAAAAATACAGTAAAACCAGTAATGTTGTGAAGTATTACAATTTAAAATAACTGTAAAAATGTAATTTATTGCCGTGATCAAATCTGAATTTTCAGCATCATTACTCCAGTCTTCAGTGTCACATGATCCTTCAGAAATCATTATAATATATGCTGATTTGTTATCAGTGTTAAAACTGTTGTGCTGCTTAATATGTTTTTTTGGAAACTGTGATACATTTTTCTTTGATTCTTTGATGAATAAAAAGTTAAAAAGAACAGTGTTTATTCTAGGGATGCACGATATATCGGCCACCATATCGGTATCGGCCGATAAATGCTCATTTTTTCTGTTATCGGTATCGGC